CTGAAAGCTCTGATTTCACACTTAAATGCCACTTGCGCACAGTTTTCGACTAAAAAAAGTAACGATTAAATCTGACAACTCTGATTTTACATCAGACACTGCATTAATGCGGTTAGTCGGTAGAAGACAGATCTCTATCGTAGGCTAAATTTCTATAATTTCTACCATATACTGTTTATATCGCGCATTCCTACAAGGGAGCAGTCATGCCATAGGGGTATCATAGTAAAGGTGTTTAGAGCTATTCCTTCCATTTCAATGGTCAGAAACAAAACTCTTAATATGTTGTTTTGAGCTCAGTTGAGGTTAATTCAATTCAATTCAAAATTCCATTCAATTCAAAAATACTTTATTAATCCCAAAGGGAAATTATTTGTTGTTGTAACTTGTTATCCTCATTTCATTAAGAGATGTTGTAGATGCTGATGGCTGTAGACATGAAGGATCTCTTGTAAAGGTCCATCCCACAGTGGATCCTAAGAAACTGGCTGCAGATGCTGTCCGATACGTCCACCCAGACTCGGCTGGCCTCTCGGTTCCCTTCAGGCTGTAGGACCGCCTGAATGCCGGGCAGAACTCCTCCCAGAGCGATGGCCACTCCTCCCAGCAATCTGCCAAACTCCTTGTCGCTGCGAACAGCCAACTGTAGGTGCAGAGGGACGATCGTGTCCTTCTGCTGTCATGAGCCGTGTTTCCTGCTAGTTCCAGGATCTCAGTGGTCAGGCACTCGAGTACAGCTGGCAGGTAGATGAGAATGCATCCACAGAACATCCTTTTCAACTCATTTGAGATTTAGGGCTGTAGTTGAGATATTATTTGAGCTTTTGAGATGTTAATCAGCTGCTGTTGGTTGTAGAAAACTGCCTTGTTGCCATGGTTACACATCATAACAAATGTCCAAAACTAAAAAAGTTTCAGTAAAACTCCTTCCAGCTGCACAGCATCTGATACCAGAGGAAACAATCATCCAAAAAAATCTGATTTACATCCAGAAAAAGAGGAATTAAAGTTTCCAAAAGCAAAATCTCAGAATGAAAGTAACAGAGCTGCTCCAACATGCAGCCACCTTGAGCGGCGCAATTCTAGAATTGTAATCAGACAGGAACAGCTTTGGGTGTATGGTCCTACACCACAGATCTCAACCCTCAGTGCTGCAGAGATCTTCACTCATACAAGAAAACAAAAGTCAAACTGAATGAGAGAAGATTGTTGATGGACGTGCTGGACCTTGAGTTTGGTGCCTGTGGATGTAGCCACCACACATAGAGCCCTGACGATCACATGATTCCACTCAGCATCTCTTTCAGAGGAGTCATTCAACATAACATCAGATTCAACACACAAAGCCACTTCAAATTATTTCCTTCTGCCCGTTTGTGGTTCTGAGTATAAGATATCTGCAGGTCCACATTTAACCCTGGCTCTGTAAAGTAGGAGTCATGACCGGTCCAAAAGATAAAACTAAATCCTGCTTCAGAGCCCAAAAAAGAGATTTATGTTTTATTTCCAACAATGTAAACCTCTTTAATATTACAGTTCTATTATACATGATGCAATAAATAAAGTATGACCATGACCCACATTCGCTGCTTTATATTTTTTTAATTATGAGCGATAGTGAGTTAGTTAATAACATTTTACAAGTAAGTCACAATTCTGCAGAAACTCTGTTTTCCTATTCCTTTATAGTGTGATAATCTGTCATCTTTAGATTACATTTAAGGCTCCCTCTTCAGTTATCTTGACTTGATTCACCTTGAAATGACTGTTACCTACAATAAATTACAACTTTTGTTGATTTATAAATCAACTTTTGTCCTGTATCTTGTTGCACAGCTTTGAGGTAAAACATGAAAATTATACACTGAACATGTGGCTCATTCAAAAAAGTGTGCTCGGCCTTTTGGGAGTGGTGCATCACACAATATACACAGGATTTGCAAAAAGCTGCTAGGAAACAAATAATGAAGATTAATGGGATTTTGGTGAAACTCATAAATAACCCCAGTCCTCGGCACCCTGTCAGATGCTTTTTCTAAATCCACAAAGACACAATGGAGTTCTTTCTGACCCTCTCTGTACGTCTCCATCAGCATCCTCAAAGCAAAGATGGCTTCTGTGGTGCTCTTTCTTGACATGAAACCATACTGCTGCTCACAGATAGTCACCTCTCGTTCAAGTCTAGCTTCCACAATTCTCTCACAGATCTTCATCGTGTGACTCATCAACTTAATTTATCCTGTAATTGCTACAACTCTGTGAATCACCCTTGTTCTTAAAAATGGGCACCAGCACACTTCTTCTCCATTCCTAAGGTATTTTATCACCCTCAAATAAAATTGAATATTTGAGTCATAAACCTCATTGCCATCTTTCCAAGACCTTTCCATACCTCCACTGGTATGTCATCAGGTCCTACTGCCTTCCCCTTCTTCATTCTTTTCAGAGCTTTCCGGACTTTATCCTCACTAATCTTTCCCACTTCCTGGCCCACAGTTTCTATTTGTTTTTTTCATTTACCCTTTATTTATACAGGTAGTCTCAATGAGTCACGAGAACTCATTTTCAAGAGAGACCTGTTTTGGGGAGCAGATGGTGGGGGTTAAGGGCCTTGCTCAGGGGCCCACAGTGGGGCAAATGTGGGTGGAAGCAGGTGTGGGCGTTTCACCTTTTTCCACCCACATTTTTGATGTTGACGGTACCGGGAGTTGAACCTGCGACTTTCTGATCACAGGCTCACCTTCTCTAACCTCTGTGCCACCACTCCCCAAGACCTCTAGTGTTCTTTCTCTTTCATTCTCTTCATTCATTAGCTCCTCAGAGTACTCCTTCCATCTTCCTGTCACACTATCCTCACTTGTTAGAACATTACCATTCCTACCAGGGCTTAATTTATAAACTAATCAATGCCAGAATTCAAATAGCATTTCTGAGCTGAACTCTTCTTTGCTGATTTCATTTCTGCGCTTTGTTGCTCCTGCTGCTCCAACCTCAAATGTGACTGCCTTCTCGGTTGTCCAACCAAGGACAATCCATGCATCCATTTATTTAATGGACGGCTGTGGCTGAGTGGTTAGAGCAGTCGTCCTCCAATGTGAGAGTTGGGGGTTCGAATCCACCAGCAGTCACATGCTGAAGTGTCCCTGGGCAAGACACTGAACCCCCTCATAGTCTCTGATGTGTGTCCCATCAGTGCATGAATGTGATCTAAAGCTCTGATTAGTCTCTTTAGAATGA